TCCCAAATTGCATAACTCTTGTCTCTAAGGGGAGAAGAAAGTCCTTGAATCATGAATGGGAGATGTGAAGGAGAAGTAAAGGCAAGAGTAATTAGCATTACAAATTCTAGAAAAAAGTCAGAATAGAGCAATTTTCAAATGTTTATATGAGAGTCCATTGGAGTTTCTTGACAAGTGCTTCCAAAAGCATCTCTCTATTGGGTTCTTCCTCATTTTTCTTTCGTCTTCAAGGGTACCCACTTCTCTTTAAATAAAGCCCCTTATGCTCCGTTAAAAAAAAAAAAAGATAGGTGTTTGGATAGATAGATGAGAGGGATTTGACTAGACTTTCACTGGTGAACAACTGGGGACACTGACTCAACACAGTGGGCCTTAACACCCAGGAAAGAGTATATGGGTTCTAGTGAGTAGGGGGCTATGGGAGAGTGCTGGTGAAGATGGGGCTGTAACGATGATTCAGATTATTTGAGATATTCTGCATGAAATACAACAAAATTTAATAGAAACAAATTTTTTAAAATAATAACAAAAACATATAATAAAAATCTGACACCTGGTTAAAAATAAGTAAATAGATGAAAATAAAAATTTTTTAAATGGTGGTTAAAAGGGGGCTCAGAAGATGACTCAGTTTGGAAAAGTTTGCCATACAAGCATGAGGACTTGAGTTGAATCCCCAGAACCCATGTAAACAAACAACAAAAACCAAAAGCCATTTCGTGTGGTGGTATATGCTAATAATCCCAGCACTGTAGAGTTAGTACCAGGCTGTGTCCTGAGGGGTATTTGTTCCTCCAAGGGGTGGGGCCTGCTGTGGAGAGTTACCTGCAGAGGTAGGAGCATTGGCGCAATGGCCCCCCTGTCTTGCCCGTGTGGACGTGAGAGGGGGCATTTGTTAACCTGGGGAGAGGCTGCAGGCCCATGAGACATGGCCTAATGCTAATGAAGACTGTGAGTAGGCACAGACACAATCTGGAACGGTGGGCTGCTGAGCCACAGAGCGGAAAGGGCCACTGGGTGTTAATCTTTTGTGGGGTGCCAGATGTTCGCCTTTGTAAGTTACTCTATTTCCCCTACCCAGGATATAAACTATGAAAAATTCAGATAAAGATGTGTTATATGGTTTGTCCAATAGCACCAGGAGTGAGGGACCCTAAGAGAGCTTGGGTGACACAGGCAAAGCCCTTGGGCTCACTGGCATCACTGGCCTGCCAGCTTAGCTGATCCGGTAAGCCCAGGTTAGTGACAGACCCTGTCACAAGAACAAGGTAGTCTAGCGCCTGAGGAACAATGACCAAGGTTGAACTCTGGTGTCCACACGTATCCCCCACGCCAACACACACACACATGAAACTGCATCCTGTTGAAAAATTATCACTAGGTATTTTAACAATTAAAGAGCTCAAAATTGATTTCAGAAAGAGCAAAAAGAAATAATTTAACAAGATGCACTTTTAAAGATACTATCAAAAGCCAGGCCTGATGGAGCACGTCTATAATCCCAGCTACTTAGGAGGCTGAGACAGGAGGATTTCAAATTCAAGACAAACCTGGGCTAAAAAGTAAGTTCAACTTAGAGAGATTCTGTCTAAAAATAAATAGTTTTAAAAGGTGGGAGTTTTCTGGAGCTGTAGTTCAGTGGTGAAACACTTGCCTAGCAAAAACCAGGTACTTAGTTCAGTCCCTATACTATAACAAAAAATAATAAAATAAAATAAAATGAAGCAAATAAAGATAGTAGTCAATAACTTCTTCCTGAAAGAAAAGAAGCCATGAATCTAAGCATGTCCAGTACACAGTATGTTCCTGGGTAAAATGAACACAAAGAGTTTGGGTACTGTTAGTAAACTTAAGACAAATCAAAACAATCGATCAGTAAGTTTGTCAAGCAAAAGATCAAGTCACTGAAAGTTGTATGGAGAAAAAAAATCAAGCTCTTTTTATAACCATCCTAACAGGTTTGAAGATATTCTAAAGAGACATTGTGTCCCTTCTTTTGGTGTTCAGACTATTGAAGCAATGGAATCCAAAAAAATCTCCCCATGAATCTCACATTAAGAGAAGAGAAAGCCTGGGAGCCAGAGCTGGACTTGTCTCCTGCTAGGAGGTTTTATATTATTCTGACAACT